CACCAGCCGCTGATCAAAGCGGGCCGGGTCCTTTCCCAGCACGCCATTCCCGCTGCTGGGTGGTTCGAAACCTCCCTGTTTCCAGTTCCCATCTGTTCCCAAGCCCTCCATCCACAGCTGTCCCAGTGCCAGCATTGTCTTCAGGCCTGCTGCCCCCCGAAGCGCTTCCAGCCAGCAAAGCCATCTCTGCCTCCGCCTGCCGGGAGGCCAGGGCAGGGGCAGGGAACAGCAGGGACCACGCGGACCACGCGGGGCAGTGGGTGTGGAAAGGGCATTGGCACCTGGCGAGGACGCCGTGCTCATGACAGCACTGTCTCCCAACGCAGGGGACGGGCGGGGACAATAAAGAGCAGTGCACCGATGGCAAAGGTGGCAGCTGGATGCGGGGTCCAAGTGCAACACCGCCCGGGAAGGGCCAGCTCCGGAGAGATCCCTTCCCTGCTTTCCCTCTGGCTGAGCATCACAGAATCACAGAATAGTTTGGGTTGGAAGGGACCTTAAAGACCATCTAGTTCCAACCCCCCTGCCATGAGCAGGGACACCTTCCACTAGACCAGGTTGCTCCAAGCCTCATCCAGCCTGGCCTTGAAGACATCCAGGGATGGGGCATCCACAGCTTCTCTGGGCAACCTGTTCCAGTGCCTCCCCACCCTCTCCAGGAAGAATTTCTTCCTGATATCTAATCTAAACCTCCCTGATTTCAATTTATACCCATTACCCCTTGTCCTGTCACTACAGGCTCTTGTAAAAAGTCCTCTCCCAGCACCCTTGTAGCCCCTTCAGGCACTGGAAGGTGCTATAAAGTCTCCTCGGAGCCTCCTCTTCTCCAGGCTGAACAAGCCCAATTCTTGCAGCCTTTCATCATAGGAAAGGTGCTCACAAGGCTCATCGTGGCCATGTCCGGGACGTGGCTGTGCGTCGTCCACCCCCCCCTCCCAGTCACGTATCCCCACACTCACCACTTGTACCAGGTCTTGCACACCCGCATGCACTCGCAGAGCTCCCTGCGAGTGAGGTAGCGGAAGACGGACATCCACACCTCGCGCTGCATCCAGCTCTCCTCGCCCTCCTGCGCCCGGCCCCCTCGGCCGTTGAGCCGGGCCGCTGCCCCCTCCTCCGCGTTCTCGTCCTCCTCTTCCTCTTCTTCCTCCTCCTCCTCGGCGGCTGCCTCCTCCTCCCCACCGCCTCGCAGGGGCATCCTGGCGGGCGCGTGCCGCATGACCACGCGTGGAGAATGCTGCAGGTTGGCGGAGGAGGCCGTGATGGCTTGAAGTTTGGGGACGATAGAAGTGCCGTGGACGTCTTTGGTGGGGCGCTGGAGCGTCACGGTGAGGTAAGAGCCGTGCAGCTTGGCCTTCTCCACCTCCGACAGCTCCTTCTTGCCGCTGGGGTTGTTCTCC